TCTTCACTTATTTCATTTTTTTATTTTATAATTTACTCATTCTAATTCAAATTATTCTACTCCTCTATAATCTATTTTAATTTATATAATGGCAAATATCTTAAATTATTTTTTTTTAAACCTTGAATATTTAAAAATCATTCAGCTATTTGAGTAGATCATCAATATTTTTATTTTGATATTTTATTTGAAATAATTCATCATTTTAATCATGATCATTATAAGGAGGATTTGGTATCTCAGCAAAATACCCTCCACCTTCCCGGAGTACAAATATAACAAAAAATTTAATATTCAGCCATTATTTCTTAAGCAAACTAAAAGTCTATTGTTCTTTCTGTATATTAACAATTCCTCCAGAATATAAACATTGAAAAACCATGATATAATTTGATTTTATTGATATCAATGTTATACAAGCACATGAGATAGTCCAAATTAGAAAGTTATTTCCATCTATACTTCTTGAAAAAATCTATTTGAATTCTTCTAATTCTAAAATTTGATCATTTCAAATGAGATAAATCTATGGAAATTTTTTATTTTAAATTCTGTTGTTTCAAAATTGTAAATCTAAGAATTAAATTGCTTTTATTTTGAAATTTAATTGAAATTTATTTCTTAAAATATAATAGAATTAGGAATCAATAATTAAATTAATTTTTAAGTAATATTAAATACATATTTTAATAAATGATGAATATTTATGTTTTAGATATACTTAAATTTTGCTTTTTAAAATTAATTAAAACTTTTATAATCGATTCTATTTTATTTCTTAAATTTACAATATTTTATTTATAATCTTAGTACATTCCTAATTATATTTTATTCTTTACGATACTTGATACACCTGAAGCCCCAAAAATTTTGTATTAATTGGCAAAAGTCCATAAGCTGGTCCCATCCAGAATATCCTATAGCCGGTACTAATCCACACTACCCACTTCTACTACTCAGGAAGTATCAATAAGTCAAAAATCATTTAAATCAAATACTAAAAATCAATAAGTAAAACAAACTCTAATCCAAAATTAAAAAATCAATTGGGAAAAGCTAAAAGACAAAAATAATTTAAATTAAAAACTAAAAAATCAATCAGGAAAATCAATAATCAAACAAAAATATTATTAATTAAAAATTAAAAAATCACAAAGGCAAATCAATCGGTCAAAAATAATTTTAATCAAAAAACCAATAATTTTAATCGAGAAATTTATAAAATTAATCATGAAAAATTTAAATAATGAAATCTCACAAAATCATCAAAAAGTATTACAAAAATATTAAAAATGAATAATTAATAAAACTGTCGAAAAAAATATCAAAGAATAATTAGAAAACCAAACAAATAGTAATAAATTTTTATTTGGTGTTGGTGCTATCTCTGTTGGGGAATTAAAATATTTTTGGGGTTAGTGCTATCTATTGAGTAATAATAAACAATTTATGCTTTTTGGGGAAAGCTGCTGCTTTTAGTTTTGATATTGAAGAAATTAAAGGCATTGATGTTTGGGGAACTAAAATGTCGAGCCCTAACTGTACTTAGAAAATAATTATTGTATAATTACATGTAGTCTTAATTCAACCCAACCCCAAACCCATTTACTTTTCATTTAGGTAATGACTTTCTTTTTATGTCTAACTTTGTATTTAGGTAATGACTTTTGTCTGACTTTATTTAATATTTTGACTTTTTTTGGTAATTGCTTTTAATTTATGTATTGACTTTTAATTTAGGTAATGATTTATTTCATTTTATGTCTGACTTTTCTATTATGTTATAACTTTTTTTTTGTAATTTCTATTAATTTATGTATGAACATTTAATTTAGGTAATGACTATTGTTTTTGAAAATGCCTTTTATTTTCGTTAGAACATTTATTTTTATAATAACATTTCATTTAAGTTGTAATATTTAAATTTCAAATGACTTTATTATTTTTGTGTAATGACTTTCATTTGAGTTCTAACAATAATTTTTGTTATGACTTTTATTTTTGTTATGATTTGTAATGACTTTAATTTTTGTTCCGACTTTTATTTAAGGTCTGACTTTCAATTTTATATTAAAATTTACATTTGTAATGTATGTTATTAAATTATAAAGGATTTTAAATCAAAAAAAATATAGATTGAAACACTTATTCTGCTTGGAGAGTAATACTTAATTTACCAAAGTTGACAGCATATAAATAAATATAGATGAGGTTATTGACCAATTTAAACAAAAAGCTGAGAAAATGAAATAATTAATAATTCAAAGGCTTATGTTTGAAAAACAAACAAAGCATATTAAATAAAAACAAAGGGTAAACTAACAGTAATGAACATACCAAAAAATATTAGATAACTATTTTACTTACCCATAATATTTTGTAAAATTCATAATTTATTATGCACATTTTAATATCTGGTAGAAGTTTGTAATCATAATATCATTAATGAATTGAAGTAATTATTAAATAGGAAATATGATAAACTAGATAGAGAAAAGTTGAAAGAAAGAATATTTAGATTAATAAATGAGGTAGGAGGTGAATTTGTAGAAAAAAAGAAAAAGTAACAAATGAAAAACATCAATTTTGTTATTATGATAATTGTTAGGTTATGTTAATATTTTTTGTAATGATATTTTTATAACGAAATTTTTTTATGTACTTTGTTTTTTATTCAAGAAAATTTCCTAATAAAAAGTTATAAAAATTTGTAAAAATTACTCTTTTTCAAAAAAAAAGCTCAAGAAAAATGGCGAGCCTGGCATTTGTTTTTTTTTCAATTCAAGAAAAATTATTTTTATCAATTCAACTTTCACTAGCCCATTGTAGTGAAGATTCTTCCAACCCTAAACCCATTCCAGGCAACCCCAAACCAATTTTGCCCCTCCCACCATTTCAATTACTATCAACCCGACCAACCACTATCTATCATTATATAACGACTATGGGATAGTCAGATTTATCACGACCAAACCCGAAATAACCATGCAACAACTCGTAGTTTATTAATAATAATGTTATTTAGAGTAAATACTAAATAAAAAGAATATTACAATTATCATTTAACATGATACGATACTCAAATAATTAATCAAATCTAGCATTTACAAGACAGGCAAATTAATATTTTATGAATAAATTCTAAACTTAGTTGTTAGATGACGATTCAGTTATATCCTTATTTATTTTACACTATCATTATCTTATTAATCATAAAATTTTTTGGAGGAATAAAGTAATTTTAATTTATCTAAAAAATACTTAAAAAAAATTTTAATAACATGATTATAAAGGTGATTAATACTCATTCTTGATATTCTAATTATATGTAGAATTTGAGTAATCTATTGTTACTTCTAAAACCCGATTTGAATACTTAAGTTCCAAGAGATACCATTCATCTTTTGCATGAATCAACTTAAATTGTGTCAAAGGAGTGACTGGTGGTTTTTGGTGAGATTATAGTCCAGTTGGTGAATTCTTTAAGTAGGAAATCCCAAGATATAAGTCGGTAGCATATCCTTATATCGCATAATAGCCACGATCGATATATATGAACTTATGAAGACATTAATTTAACCGTGTTACTGTCTTTGCTAAAAAATTTAATAAAAAAAAATTACTTATATAAGCCCGACCTTCATAAAAACTACATACTTTTCCCTATTCATTTTCTATGAAATAAAGACTTACAATTCTCATTTACTCCAAAAGAAATTGGAATATTTGCAAATATTAAACATATCATGATTAATGATATTTTTAAATTCAGTATAATTAATATTGCTGTTTATAATATAAAAATTACTAAAATATTTGTATTTTTATAATGAGTACATTAGCAGCTTCAAGAGCGGATAAATTTTACTATGGACCAAACTATGATCATAATTAATTATTTGAATAAATAATAGGGTATTTTGAAAGATTAGAGAAAAATCAAACTTCAAAAAAAAATTAATATAAAATTAAAAGTGGTCCTAAAATATGTTTTGAAATGTTTAAAATGTGGTCATATGATAGATCATGGTTTTAGATTTAATGCAGCATTGAGAGAAGGTATATTTTTAAATATTATATGAATAATAGTTGGTAAATTCCATAGTACAATAATATTGTAATGTTCAATGTTTTGTTCTAGTAAAAATGCAATCGTTTGTAAGAATAATCATGAAAATTGTGATGTATATTGTTTTCCAAAATAAAAAATAAAAAAGAGTAATCTAATGCAATGTATAAATTGAAAGGTGATATAATTTGGCTCCTGTATAAAAGACTTATAAAAATATTGTTTAGTTTCAAATATTTTTTTTATGATAGGAAATTTGGAAGGATGACTTTTAAAAAAATTACTTTTCATCCCTTTAAGTTCTATTTAAAAGTTCGATTAATCACGGCATAAAGTTAATGAATTTCAATAAAATTTTATTACCAATATCCTTATTGTGTCTAGGTTTAAGGTATTTACTACTTTAAGTATATCTATTAAATTCAATTTAAATCTTAAATTATTAAAAATTTATAATGTTTTTATTAATATAATCAATATTAAGTTTTTTTCTAATACATGAATCAAAAAAACATTATTTACAATTCATTTTCATTAAATTTAGTTTTTAATTTTATATGATAATTAAATTGAATAATAAATAATGCTTTTTTCAGATTTTTATTAATATCTTAAAATAAAATGTCTGGATTTGAGATTTGCGATTTTTTTTTAAAGACTTAATCATTAATTATAATAGGATAATCTCTTCTTTTAATTATGTACAATTGAATAATTAATAAAGTAGGATAGAAATGATGTAGCTATTCAAAAAAACAATTATATAGCTTTATCTTATTCTTAAAGTTGATTGATGGCATTTATGTACTAAATAATTTTAAGTGAAATTTATAACTTTTTTGAAATAAGCTTTTTGTTTTATCTTTATGGTTATGAATTATATTATTTGGAGATACATTAATATAAAAATCAGATTGGGGTTGTTAGATTTTGAATTCTTGTAATAATATAAGAAGGATAGCAAAAAATTAATTGGTTGGACATATATATAAAAATTATAATTTAAAATGAGATGGAATTAATGAAATAGTGTGTAATGATTATTTATATTAATGTTTATAATCAAATAATGAATAAAATGATATTAATATATTAGAAGAAATGAATTAATAAAAAGGATTAGATGAATAGACTTTAAAAGAAAATTTATCAAGATTAAGTAATCTGATGACAATATAAAAAAAGTGTAAGTTGGATTAAAAACCAGAATTACAAAATAAGATGACTAAAAATTCCCTCTTTATGAATTTGAAATTCTTTTAAAAACCTTAAGGTCAAAATGATGATGTACCTAAAAACATAAAAGTT